ACAGCCAGAGAGAGAGAGAGAGAGAGAGAGAGAGAGAGAGAGAGAGAGAGAGAGAGTGGGCACACATTGAGAGACAGATGGGGAACGCACAAGAGTAAACAATGCGAATGGGCTGGTGGGGGTCACATGGCAATGGCAATGCCATGCATGGAGCGCCAAGCTCCTAGCTCCAAGCATGGAGCGCACTGCTAATGTACACAGACAACAACTCCCCAATGAAATAGTTTATGGTAAACCGCAATGCGAAAAATGTCACCTCTTGGCAAAAATGAGCAAAGCCAAAGGGCGGGCGAGATTCAAAGATACAAAGCAAAACATAGAGATGGTAAAGGCAGATAGAGATAGACATAGGGAGGGAGAGGGAGAGACATAGAAGTTGTGGTTCAGCTGGTAAAATAAGTGCGGAAGTTGTTTGCGGCGCTGGCAAAAGGCAAACGGAAGCGGCCTATTGGGCAATGGCGGCGCCACAAGCGGAAATGAGCCAACTTGGCTGCCATGCCACATGAGGCGCTGACTTTGGCGCTAACTCAAACACCCGACAACACGCGGCTGACAATTCCTCGACTCGATCTTTAATGATAAGTATAAACAGTTTGGCCTTAAACTAAAACGTTCGACTTAACTAGCTCGAAGCTCCCTGAGTTATAGCAGCGCTCGTTCGATTCCAAAAAGGGAAACTGGCCCCGGCGACCGTCTATGGGGCACATTCTATGGGCCACGCAGTGGCGGCTCGGTGAACTGCTCGTTCTGAGCATCGCAGCGGTTGGCGTCCGCCTCGGTGGGCACCACATCTGCGGCCAGCTCGAGCAGCTTGTCCAACGGACACTGGAACTCGCAGCCGGGCACGGTTAGCTTTTGTGCCGGCGCCTTGGGATTATTGCGGAAATAAATCTCCACCCAGTAATCGCCGGTCTCTTTGTTCTTGTGCAGCTCAAACAGTGCCATCACCGAGTAGCGCGGCAGCTGGCGCTCCCAGATCTTCAAGCCAGACAGCACATTAACCACAGTCGAGTCGTGGCCCGTATAAATAAAGAGCTTGCGTTTCTCGGGCTTCAGGGTGCCGTTGCGCTTCTGCTGCATCTCGTCGAACATCTTCTTGAGGAATGGGCCCGCCTTGATCTTCTGCATCTCGGGCGTATATACATTGTACACATAACTCTGCTCCGTTAGGAACTGCATTTTCTCCGGAAAATATTGCTTCGTCCATTCCGGCAAATCCAGGCCCCATTCCTGCTCCGCGAGCAGCGTCAGATACAGCGACTGCACATCCTCTGGCTCATTGAAGCTGAGGCCGGTGTGCGCTGCCAGCTCCTTAAACATGTCCAGGTACGGCTCGATTTCCTTTTTCACCTCAGGCAGCTCGTACACCTCGTGCAGAGCCTCGAAGTAGCGCGGGCAAGGTGTGCGCACAAGCAGCAGCTGGTAATTGATAGAGGACAGAGTGGGTTAATTTAATGGTTAATAGTTAATCTAAAGAGATTAGAGAAGAGCAGGCTAGAGCTGAATATACCATAATATTGACTATATATGATATTATCAGTATTATAAAAATACTTTGCAAGCCTTTAGGTCGCTTACTAAATGAATATGTGGATACCTAAGGAAATATTTGGAGTAGGCATTTAACTTTTATCATTATTATTTTTTGTTTTATTTTTTTAATATTAGCCTTTCAGCAGAGTGAGCAATAATATTTATAACAATTAAACTTTTTTTTTTTTAATAATTTGCAATTTGTAAGAAATAAAAGGAGATGACGCAAGAAATATAAATATATTAATAATTTTTATATAATCTATTTATTTTTATTTTTTTTTTTTTTAGTTGCCAAGTTGAATGATTTCTGAATGTCTAAGTGTCTTTCGTTTCAGCAATAAAATAACACTAAAATATGTGAATATTAGATTTGAATATATAATTATAGAAACAAATTATAGCAATTGAAAGAAGACAGAATCCGTTAAATATATATATAGGCGATTAAATGCCTTTAAAAGAAAACTCTCATAAGGAAAGATGACTAATGCTATAGACTTCTACTTTTGCCTCTTAGTTAAATTAAAAATAAATATATTTATATTAAGTTTAACTTAACTTAATAATAAATCTCAACTGCATCAACTCTATGTTGACAATATAAATGCTTAACATTTCTCATTTAAATTAGTTTTTGAGCCATTTTCAACAACAAAATAAAAAAAGGATAAGAAAAGGCTTATATTATATATTATGCAATATTAGCCAAATGAAGCCCTAGTTTTGTTATGCTGATAGCTCGGCTATAAATCAATATCAATTGATCAATTGATTGCATCATTATTGATTGGTTGACATACCGTATCCTCATTTAGCTGCTGCGAGAACACCGGAATGGGCTGCCAGTTGTACTTGCTGTTCCACTCCATGGCCGTGCCCTTGGGTGGGAAGAAGCTGGCCAGCACCGTCTGCAGGGTCATGTGTGTGCGTGGCACGCCCGTCGCCTGTGCGTGCACCAACTGAAGATGTTCACAGAGAGTGAAAGAGAGAGAGAGAGAGAGGAGGAGAGAGAGAGCGAAACGTTAAAAAGAAATTGAGTGATGAGGCGAGCGCGCGCTTGAGCTTTGCAATTTGTAAACGTCCGCACTATCAGACACCCGTTTCACCCGATTCCAACTGGAGCTGGAGCTGCGACTCATGGGCGGGTGGGCGTCTGGTGGTTCGTTAGCATTGGGTTACTCACATCGGGACTGTAGTAGGGTGCCAGGAATTTGCCATAACGCTTACGCAGCCAGCTTCCAATGCTGAACAGCTCGCGTTTGCCATTCTGAGCGTTGATTTATTACATGGCATGGGCGGATGGCACGTGAGACAACAGCCGGCGAATCCACAAAGAGAAATATATACGCAGTCATAGAGTGACAAAGACAGAAACATGCAAGGAAAGAAAGAGAAAGAGATACATGTAGCAATGTTATAAAATAATAAATGCCTTGCATTTTTGCAATTGCATAA